CTTTGACTGACTCACCAAAGCTGAGTTCTGTTCTGTTCTGTTTGCCAGAGTCAGAGTGTAAATACTATAAAATCAACAACATCTACATCAGCATACGAAATTACAAACAAATGTTTATTTCCAACTAACAACAGCTGTCAAGAACTACGTCATCAAGCCCATTCATAATTATTTTCTCTGTAGAGTACTCTGGAGTAATCGTAATCGTCTTTTACTTCTTCGTCATTGTTGTTGTAGTGGCATTTGCGCAGGCGCGGCGGCAGTCATTCAAGAAGACTTCCGAATGTAATTTTCTTAAGGAAAAAGGTATGAATGTACATTGAACATACACAGACAGACTTTAATACCTACAAATATATACATATAATTTGTTTATTGACAAAAGACATTGTATGTATGTTTTATACGTAAACACAAGTCAACTAACTGCAACTTCCTAACTATTACCATGCACTATTTAGTCTACCTGTTATTTTCATTCCAACTCTCCTGACGGCGATTTTGAAAGTGTAGTGATCCCAACAATGGTTCATGACCAATACAATGTTTCGCATCTTTAGATAATTTGAATGTAATTGTTTGATTTAGGTAAGAAAAGAAAATAAAACAAAAATAAACCAAAAAAAATGAAAAAAAAAAAATTGTTCTGGTAAAAACTGCGGAAGGAAACCAGCGACAAAGACCCTAAAAACAACTGAAAGACTAAAAAAACTGTAGTATGTATAAATATGATGAAAAAACATAAACAAAAAATAATTGTATAAGTTTTAATGTTAATATTTTGTCATCAACAAATTATATATTATGAGAAAAGCAAAAAAAGAAGAAACGTTTCAATATACAATTACATACATACGTACGTATATTTTCAGAAGATAAGGGAAAAGGTATTTCCATAAATTATGAAAATCTGTAATGAAATTATGAAATTATTTATGCTCAATATCCGTTGTCAATAGTGAGCTTACCACGTTTGTTAACTTTTAGACAACGGATGTGCATACAAATTAGATTTTGACAACAAATTGTTGCAATGTATATACTTGACAACGGATGTTATTGAAAAATTTGGTGTCAATTTGGTAACAGGCGTGTATATTTTTTTCCTCTGCGTACTTGATTGCATAGAAGTAGTTTAATAATGCCTTATTTGTTATGTGATATACATATATTAGTTATCTACCTTGTGATCATTCGATTAAATTATAATTTTAAATACAACTCTGTAAGCTAATAATATTAGCATTTTAACCCCTAACTTTCTTTTGCAATGTCTGCTGGGTTTTCTATTTTTTAGAGGCTTTCTGGGAATATCGCCAGACTATATTTTGCCTATATATATATTCCACTCCTTAAACAAAGTTTAATATTCAAATCAAGAAAATATTTTTACCTTTACCCAATACCTGGGTTTTTCGTTTTAAGGTGCCTCTAGGTGAATTGTATAATTAGAAGTGTTTTAAGAAATAAAACAAAAAAACTGTCTTGTGTGAAAATTCATATTTAGTTACTTTAACGATTCAAATCAACATTAGATGAGTGAAAATATTATCAAAAATTACACTGTGACGATTTTCATCAAAATTATTTTTGCTTTCGAAATCTAGAACAAGTTTTAAATGTTGAAAGTGAATATTATAATACAGGTATAATAAATAATAAGTAAGAAATTATATTCGAGCGTAGCCGGACATATAATACTCTACACCAGTTAAGAGAATAAATGTGATTTATTTTTCATAATAAAGCATTTAAGTTATTTATGAAAAACTTATTTTCTGAAAGAGGCTTTATATCGGGACTAAGGGGAAAATGTGCACCGATCTTCATAAAATTTGGTGGATGAATCTACGTTTACATAAAATCCATTTTTCCTGAATTTCATTGCCACAATAGCCTTCTTAAGCGAATTGTAGACATTTAAACCATTTTCTAAAGGAGTATTTATATGAGGGCTAGGGCTAAGTAAGGCCGGGTCAGCAGGGTCACCAAGTCAAGTATAATACTTAGTTGTAGCGATTTTTGTCGAGAAACGAGCATATTAAACATAATTATGCGCTTAAAAGTTCTTTTCGGGAGATAAAGTTGTATGGGGCTAGGTAAAATAATGGACCGATTTTAACCATTTTCAATAGGGACAATATAAGATCATAAAGCAAAATTTATTACACGGTTTACATGGACGGACGGACATAGCTAAATTGATTCTGAAAAGTATTCTAAGCCGATTGGTATACGTTATGATGGTTGTGGGACCAATATCATTGTGGGTTACAAACATCAATACAAATCCAATATACTCTCCCCACTAAAGTGACTAAATGTTCAACCAACATCCTAACCAAAAGGAACTTGAAAGCTTAGATTTTGAATTATGTTTCATAATAAAGTCTGCTCCTTATTCATACATATTTTGCTAAATTAGTCGGGATAGTCAAGAGTTGAGCGAACTTTAAATCATTTGCGGAAATTTGTTCATATTATATAAGTGATACCATAGCATTGGTTATATAAGCCCTTGCATTTCAACACTGAATCCGAATAACTAGTTGTAAACAAATTGGAAAGAACATTTATTAGTGAGAAACTAATTTTTTGAAAGAGGCTTTATATCGGACATAGGTAAAATAATGGATCTATATCAATCATTTCAATAGGCTTTATTCATTCTTGATCTAAATTTTCCAATTTTAGCGAAATATCTTTAAAACTACTATTTGTAGTTGGATTACAGATGGACGTACATGTTTTAATCGACTGTGAAAACAATTAATAGAAATCTATTGGTTTCGGTGAAAATTGTAATTTTATCGCACGTAGTCTAGTCCTGTCTAGTGTATACTAGCTTATTAGTCTGGTGGTAAGTTCGATTCCCATCAGAGATTCTGGTCTGTTTCACTACAACGGGCGTACACAGAGGGAAAATGAAATATACACACCTGGTACCAAATTGACACCAAACTGTTTATTATTTTTCAATACCATCAGTTGTCAAAGTATATACACACTATATACGTACGATAACACTATGTAATGTTGACAACATTGCAACAATTCGTTGTCGAAATCTAAATTTTATACACATCCGTTGTCTAAATGTTAACAAACGTGGTAAGCTTACTATTTATATTCCACGTTTGTTAACATTTAGACAACGTTTGTTTACATATAAACAAATAAAATTTAAATTTCGACAACGAATTGTTGCAATGCAAACTTTACATGGTGTTGTCGTACGTATGTATATACTTTGACAACGGATGTTATTGAAAAATCATAAACTCTTTGGTGTCAATTTGGTACCAGGCGTGTATATTTCCTTTTCCCTCTGTGCATGATCATCGTCACCCTGCTCGGTAAATTAGGTTAGAATATAACTTGTAATTGTATTGTAATGGATAAATAAATAGAAAGCGGTCTTGATTTTAGATCTTTTTTCGCAAAAGTAGCTATTTGGCTTAAGAATAATTTTTCGCAAAAAAAGTTAATTTTTGTTCAAAAGTCCACTTTTATATTAAAATGAATTTTTTGTCAAAACCAATTTCAGGATCTAGAATAGTATATAAAATATAAAACTTTAAAAGATTTTGTTAATAAAAGAAAAACAAATTTCTAAATTGTCCTCAATTTCAATAACTTCATATTTGACAAATCAACTAATTTCTTTACTAACATTAATTAGTTTTGCAAAAAAACGCATTTAATTAAAATTTACCATATTTAATATCTTAAAAAACAAACAAACAAAATGATTTTCCCTCGTTTTGTTTGTTGTCTTGCAATTGTACAACGATCGTAAACTGATCGTACATTTCTGTGGGGCTGACTGGCGGGCAAGCTGGCTGGCTGACAGGCAGGCTGGTTGGCTGGTGTTACAACTTTAAATGTCTGTAATGTCACTGAAATTGTTTACTTTAAATCATTGTTTTCTATTCTGTATGTGAATTGATCTCGGTAGTTTATGTCTGGTAGATACATTATCCATGTGTGGCTCCATCACATACAACCACATTCTTTCATAACGTACTCGAAAGACCAAAAACAAAAAAATACATATAATGAAAATAAAGATACTAAAACAACAACAATAACAATACAAATCGGTTATAACAAGTGAATAGTAGCAGTAGCAGCAGCGGCTACGACAACTACAAGTCAAAAAATGTGAATATAGCAAAATACTAGTACGAGCAACAACAAAAACATTCAATACAATTTTTGCTTATTTATGTTTGAATAAAACGTAAACACAACATGTTGTATGTTGCAAACAAAATGCCGATGTAGTAAAAATAAAATCACACGATTTGCCTCCGATACTCATCAGTATTGAGAATGATGATTATTATTGTTGTTAATATTAGTTGGGGTTTATTTATTTCTTAAACTATATTATAGTGGATAGATAGATATCTTAGGGAGGCAAGTAGTATAGATATGTAGGTATGCATGTATGTTTGTACTTAATTTTTCTTTTTTGAGAAATTTAATTTTAATTCATTAACTTCTGAAATAAACACTGTCAAAAGAAGGGAAGTTTTTGTAAAGAAGAGAAAAATAGGGATTAACACAAAGAAGAGTTTCGTGCGGCACCCACTACTGATCCGTTATAGAGTTGTGTTTATAAAAAATTTTGACAAGTCTTATGTTTTGTTTACAAGATGAAAATGAAACTGAAAGGGGGGGTGGGTTATGGGCGGAGGGGCAAGACCACAAATAAACAAATAATCAACAGACAAACAGACATTTCGACAGACACAATTTAGACGTCTTGTGTGATTGAGCATCGTCTTCTGTCTACACTTTGTTACTTAAATGTAGTAATATATTTTAGTTTTATTTTTATTAATTTTTTTATTTATATTTTCGGTTTGCTCTGCTCGGTTGGTTGGTTGTGTGCGCTTCAGTCGAACATGTTGTATGTTTAAATGAGTTTAATGTGCAACACAAGTGCGTAGATGTTCGTTTCCTAAGAGGTTTGTTCAGTTAAATATCGTCAATTGTGGAGTTCGTACGTCTTCCGAAAACGTACCGGGTGGCAAAATTTTAAGCACAAAGGCGGTGAATAAAAATTAATCAAAAAGTTCTTTTTTTTTCGTTCGACAAGAATATACAAAATATATATATAAAAAAAATAAAAGTGATACATATAAATAAATGTGTATTCTATACACACAGTTTGTAGTATTTATACGTACGTATCTGTATGTTTGGCATACTTGAAAATACAAAAAAAAAAATTAAAAAAAAATAAACCAAAATTAAAATATTTTTTTTATATTTTGAAAATATATGTTGAATAACAAACCACAAAAAAATTAGAAAACTTTGAAGAGTGTAAAAAATAATTAAAGAAAACAAAAAAAAGTGTAGTGTTGTGACTAAAATTAAATAATAATTACAACAATATAAAACACACAACAACATTTGGCCATAACTCCAAAACTTAGGAACCTGCTACAGACCCCAAAAAGACAAATAATGTAATAAAATGGGAAAAAATGTGTAATATCAACTATGAATGAGAAACGAACACAAATTTGAAATTTCACATTTAATTACATATTTTAAAAATAACAAAGTAGCGCCATTACACACACACAAACAAACACTCTTACAAAAAAACAAAAACATACACACGCCTACAAGTGTATTAAAATATGTATGCAACCATATGAAACACCAGCTACAGCCATCAATGTATGAATATTATGTCTGTCAATATCATTCTGACAGATCATTATTATTTTGCGAGGATCAACATTAACAACAACAATAACAACATCATTATCATTATATCCACCATCATTAATGTCATTTGTCTGAAATTTAAAAATTTATTCAAATTCATTTAACAATATTTAAGTGAAACATCAACAATTGTATGACAAATCAAATACAAGCGAATGAAAAAAAAAGAAATAAATATAAATAAATAAGAAATAAAATTAAATTTATAATACTTAAGCAGATGATTAATGAAATGCAATATTTAACAGTTACGTAGCAAAATACATATATTATACATAAATATTATTTCGGTGAAAATTTGGCATTGTTCCGCATACACGAGAAAAATCACTAAATAAATAAAACACAACAATAAAATTAAAAAAAAAAAAAAATAAAATAAAATACAATAAATAAATTTAAATAAAATTAAATACAATAAACATACATATAGAACTATACACACATATATTCACACATACATACAGCTACAAATCATCATAGATATTTTATTTATATACATTCTATATCCATCTTCATATGTATTGTATTTGTATTTTCTTTTCTTCGTCATCATTATCACCATCATGTTGCTCGTAATTATGTTGTTTAAATAGATTTTCTTCTTCATCATCATCATCATTATTATCATTCATGGTCTTATATTAATGTCTAGTTGCTGTTAAATATGAATAATGTGTGTACCACCGTAGACCAGTGTTTCGAGACCCACGTCTATCTATACCTTCGTAATTTTCAATTTGACATCAAAGGATTAATATGTCTGCAATAAAACAACAAATAATTATAATAATAACAACTACAAAAATACAATCCCAACCAAACCAAATGAAATTGAAAATGTTTCTCTTATAGAAAAAAAAACCAGCCAACGGCACCAAATCATAAACGTATACAAAATTTTCATACTCATTTGAACCTCCAAAGTTGAAGTGGAAAAAAAGTGAAAAAAAAAATAAGAACTGAAATTTCAAAATGATTTCAAAATTGCTTTTCGAAATTGAAAGATACATAAATACGAACGAACGCAAAATTTTTTCCTCAATATAATAAAATATAGAAAAACGGGCATTAAAATTGTACATGAATTTTCCAACTTAACTTCGCACTCGTCGTAGACTCTCGATACGATGTCTCGATACTTTTTTTTTCTGTTTTTGAGTTGTTGTTGTTTATGTGTTTTTCTTTAAAATTTCATATATACATGTGTGTGTGTGTGTATGTGAGTATCTGTGTGAATGTGTTTTTTTTTTTCTGTTTCATTTAATTACTTTGTCTAAAATTAGAAAAGTGTGTGTCTGGCATATCGCACAAAACTCGTACGTCTGTATGTAAGTTTAAACGTATGTCGAGCATAGTACCAGTGGAATAAAAGAAGAGTCTTTCCCTCTTCATCATCATCACCATCATCACCAGCGTCATCATCATGATCAAGAAATAAAAACAAGCAATATAAACTCATCTTGTTCATCATCATCGGCAGCAGCATGATTATCATCGTCATTCTCGGTTACGACGACGGCCACTCTAGAGTCAAAACAGCTTGCGCCAGAAAATTGAACTCGTGAAAATCGTTGTGAATCATACAGAAAAATAAAAATATACCCGCATGTTAATGTTTAAAGAAGAACATTTTACACAAAGTATACACATAGACAGACAGACATTCTGACAGACACTCACACACACACACAGAAATAAACACTCACATTAACAGACGTAGATATTTGCCTATATCGCAACATCGTCTATGTTTGTTAGGGATACACCACCAACCAACCAACCAACACCACAGCCAAATGGCCATACGGCACTGAAACGGGGGGAACTATATAAATTTTAAGTTAAAAATTAAACAAAAAATAGCAACAACAACTCTCGCCAATAGCTTGCTCTCTTCTCCAACTACATCTCCATCGCTGTCCTCGTCTGTGTCCGTCGTAAACGTAATATACATGGGTTGGATATATGGTTAAACAACATCGGCGCATCTTCTTTCAAATGGATTACAAAAAACTTTAAGAAATAAACTCAAACAAAACAGAGACCGAGTAACAGCCATCCATCTATCCATACAAGCCTTCTGACTGACTGCCTGTCAGCCGTCGATGTCTGTTCTTATATGTTTTTAGAGTATTTTCGGACTATATATCTCTGCTCGTACTCGCTTAATATTCTTGTGATATTTTGGCGAGCGGCGAATGACTTGAGGAGCAAAAAGTTTTTTTTAGTATTTTGTGAAAGTTGTGAAAAACGAGGGTGTCTAAAACTTGTTCGATGTTGGGCTGACTAACTAAATATAGTATAAAAAGTATAACAAAACTGATTGACTGAATGACTTACTGTCCGTATGGCACGTGTGCTTTACGATCTGCCTGTCTGGCTGGCTGTTAAACAAATTTCCCATTAAAATACTAAAGAAAAAAAAATCAATGAAAATAAAATTAAATAATATGGTTTGGTCAAGGCCGAACATATTAATGCTCTACACCTATAGTAATTGCCACATTTAAAGTGTTTAGTTTACAAGTAATATATAAAGTAAATAATGCCAGAAATCTGACCTTGATTGTTTAGATTTTGTATTACATTAGACAGCTAAACATAAGCTGAAGGAAAAGGGGAATTGACCTAAAACTAGGGCCTTAGAGCATGGATTCTGTTCTAGTTTTAAGGGTTAAAAAGAAAATGGTTAAGAATTATGATTCATTTATTATAGAAAACTTTTCCTGAATGTATTTAAAAAAAATCTTCAAACCTTCTACTACCCTTGCCTGGTGTAGGGCATTAATACATTTGTATATTTATACAAATCATTTTTAAAATCACTCTGTTTACTAATTTGTTGTGTATAGTAATTTAATTTTCATTTCATTTTTAGACAGATATATTCTAGTTGAAATAGTAAAAAAAATTAAGACATGAAGAAATCTAAAATCAAATCAAAATATATTAACATTAAATATTAAAACAAGAAAAAGATTTCCTACGAATCAAACGAATTTTTCCTCTCAAAATCAACAAAAACAAAATAAAAAAAATCAAACGAGAAAGAGAAATACAAAAACTCCTTGCCCTCCCTCCCCCAAATAAAACGATTTGAAAAATCGAATTAAAGAAAATAAACAAAATTTAATATTATAAGAATAAAACAAATTGATACAATGACGGTAGTGTTTCATATAAAAAAGTGGCTCTATTGCAATCAATTTCTAAGAAAAATTCCAAAAATGTATGAACGCAATCGATAAATAATCAATTGGCAACGAGAATTTTAAAAGAAACAAAAAATTCCTCCCCTCCCAAAATAAAATCAAATTAAAGAATTTAAAAATGCAGTAAAACTACAAGTGCAAGTGTTCCAAAAAAAAAATTTTTAAATAAAATAAAACACAAAAAAACATAAAGTAAATGCATTCGAAAAGAATTGTTAATAAAATAATAATTATTTTTAAATACTCGTATATTATATAGTAAAAAAAATACTTATATAAAAAATAACCAACAAGTTAAAAATAAAAAAAAAAATAATTTATTTAATAAACAAACAACTTTTTAATAAACAAATAACTTTTAAGTTTCATAAACACATCAAACACTTTTGAAAAAAAATTCTACACCAATTGCGGAAACGCCATGAATGCGCGAATATTGCGCAAATGGAGTATACATACGAAAAATCTAATGTCTTGCTCGGTGTGCTCACTTGTGGTCGTTGTACTGCTGCTACTTGTCACATGTGCACCATCCCTAATATTGGCAACAATGAACTTTCGTTCAGACGCATCATTTGCTGCTGCAAATCCACCACATATGCCAAAAAATGTAATCAAGGAGGCAACATTGTCGTCGTCGTCATCATTATCATCCACATCCTCATCATCAGCATCATCAGCGTCGTCGTCGTCAACATTATTAACATCGATATTGTCATCATTACCAAACAGAAAGCACAGACTGGCGTCATCTTCCAGTGCTGTGGAAGTTGTCCAAACTGCAGACATCAACAGAGAGCCATTTCCGGGCTATTACAAGAATTACCCTGCAGATGACACGCGGCAATGGCCACCACAACCCGGCAGTAGTGGTGGCGTTGGTGTGAGCAGCAGCAGCGGACATAATAGAGGTTTTTTGTCCGCCAATAGTAGAAGTAGACACGCATTCATTGATAATAAACAGCAGTTATACAGCAATAATGACAATCTAGGCTACATGCTCCCACTAAGAGGGTGGCCTAGACACCACACACCTACACCACAGGCCACAGTCGATGATGGTGATGACTCGTATAACGATGACATCAAACCATCGTACACTGACAAAGTTGCTGGTGATGATGAGTATATAGAAGAGGATGATAAAGTTGCTGCTGATAGAAAGGTGTTGTATGTGAGAAATGGAAATGGTCCACAACAAATACCAAGCAACTTAAGAAGCAGCTATGCAACAACACCAAATCTTAACTTTCCATTGCAACAACCACAATCACAACAACACCACCAACAGCAATATTATAATGTTAGAAGAATGGAAGAGGATAGAACACATCATGTTGCACCATCTCCTCTAACACTACATACCCTAACAACACCAACAAAAACACTCTTGCAACTACAACGAACATCACGAACAGCATCAACATCAACAACAGCCCATCTAAAACAACCAGAACTGATACATAGTAATATTAATAAACTTAAAAACGTAAAAAACATATTTTCAACAACACACAATAAAACGCTGCAGCCGGGAGGAGAAGCTAATGTTTTCGGCATTGATAACACAAATGTAAACAAAATTAAGACATCGTCAGGCTTGCCGCTACGCTTCATTATAGAATCCTATGAGGTGCCTGCCTCATTGCCATTGGCAAGAGAACTAACAGAACAGCAGCGTCGCATGCTGATACACGAACAACATCTAAAGCAATTGCGTACAATGCAACAGCAGGCGGCCCGTAGTAGACGCGATTCTCTACGTGGTCGTTATAAGAAATATGAAAACGATCTGCTAACAGCATCCTCATCTACAACTTCATTGTCAAGCTTACGTAAGTCTCCTTCACCCCACAACTTGAGACAACATCAACACCAGCATCAACATCATCAGCACCAACAACAGCAACGCATGCGCAAACATTCAAGGCGCTATTGCTCTGCAAGAGATCCCGCCCAATTGGCATTTGAAGCGCCCACCGTATTCGAGGGCAAAATTGTGTCAATGACACCCGATCGTAGGCAAAACTTTTCGGCTACTGTCGAAGTTAGGGAGGTGTTTAAACAGCAAATCGGTTATCGTTTGCAAAAATATTTACGTTTGCAATTTGCTTATCGTAATAATAGCGGTGAGTGCGATATTTATCGTGAACAGCTGAGACCAAGAGGTCTAGTACGTGGTGATACTATCGAACCGGGACGCATGTACTTGCTGTTTGTCCAGCAAATAGACATTGGCAACTTTACAATACTGGGCCAGCCTATAAGGAAGACAAAACGTGTCGTTGAGGCAGTACGTTACGCAGTGAGTGGAAACTATGGTGAGTGTAAAGTGATCAAATATTTTTATTTTTATAAGTACAGACAGTTGATTTTGCTATAGTTAAAACTTTTAAGGAAAATTTACAGCGTTTGTCTTCCATTTTACGATAAAATTTTCGAGAATACCGGAACTTTATATAAACACTTCGGAATCGGTTTCTATTTCTTTAAATGCATGCACTCTCTATATATAACAACTGATCTTTGAAAGTAAGGGAATACGTATTTCTAAGGGGAGTTAAGCGTTTACTGCAACTAATTAATTTTCTTTTTTTCGCAGTAGTCTAATGCAATTACAAGCAACATAAATAAATTTCTATACAATTTTCATTTCACTTGTCCTATGTGACAATTTTGTTTTTTTTGCTTTCACGTCCTCTCACTTAAAATTATTTAGCAAATTAACAACTTTCCTACAATAAACAATGTCTGCGCACTACACTGTCTACAGACAGCGTGTGTGTGTGTGTGTGCGTGTATCTGAGTGTACATTGCTATAGAGCTGTGCAACACATTATATACTGCAGCTTAAATATGTTCGTGTCCATTAGAGAAGTATTCGTGGAATACTCGAGTTAAGAAATTGCATACATAACATTAATGAAAAAAGAGTGTAAATGATGCAACATTTTTTAATTTTTACATACTAAGTACGAGTATTAAATACATAAAAAAATATATAAATTACAGAGCAGATGAAACTCATGTTGGGGTTTTTTTCCATTTGTTTTTTTTTTTACCAGTTGAATAAATCATTCAAATGAAAAGAAAATAAATAATAATGGATAAAAAAACCATGAATTTTTCTTAAATGTTGGGGTCTTGGTGCACGCAAATGCCACGCGAATTAGCATTTGTAATAATAATCATCATAATAACAATATTAATGATAATAGATACTTGCAACAAGCAACAAACCAAATACTTACATATATACATAGGCAAACAGACCTGCAAGCTAAAGTAAATAAATACATGTTGAAACTTGCAATAAAGTTTGGTTGGCAAAGCGGATACGGATACGAACATAAACTTAACTTATACACAATTACTGAGTGTGTGTGTGTTTATTGTAGTAGTGTGTAACGTGTGAATTTTTCTCTTCTTTTTGTTGAGTGCAAGAGTGTGTGAAAAATAAAATGAAATAAAACAAACAAATTAAAAAAAAAAATTAAGAAAAAATAAACGAAAAATTTTAAAATACAAAAAAAACTATAATGAACATTTAACGAGAGACTTGAGAGAATAGTTGTTGTTGTTAATGATAATCAGACACATGAAGGGAAAGAGGGATAGACGAATTTATGAAAAGCTAAACAATGTTACACTTAGAGAAAAACTATGGTTAGATAACGTAACTATTTAATACACTAAATTTAATAATAGCATTGTTACGGCAATCACATTTTTAGTTGTCCCAATCATAGAATGATAGACACATGAAGGGAAAGAGGGACAGACGAACGTATGAAAAGCTAAGCAATCATACACGTAGCGAAAAACTGTAGATGGAAAAGCTAACTATTTAATACACTTAATTTAAAGATACCATGATCACGGCAATCAAATTTTTAGTTGTCCCAATCATAGAATGATAGGTACATGAAGGCAAAGAAGGACAGACGGACGTATTAAAAGCTAGACAATCTTACACGTAGAGAAAAACTATGATTAGAAATGATCACTGCAATAAAATTTTAGTTGTCCCAATCATAGAATGATGAACAGACACATGGAGGTAATGAAGGACAGACGGACGTATTGAAAGCTAAACAATCTTACTCATAGAGAAAAAACTACGGTTAGAAATGGTACTATATATTACACAATTCAATTGTATCATGGTCATGTCAGTCAACTTTCATTGAATGATAAACACAGGGAGGGAAATAAGGACAGACGAAAGCTAAACAATCTTACACGTAGAAAAAAACTATGATTAAAAAAGGTAATTATTAAATACACTAAATTCAATTATTGCATGGTCACGGTAATAAAATTTTTAGTTATCCTAATCATTAAATGATAGACAGATACATAGAGGGAAATAAGGACAGAAGGATGTATGAAAAGCTAAACATCCTACATGTAGAGAAAAACTGTTATTAAAAAGGTGTCCCAATCATAGAATGATAGACACATGGAAAATGGGAAAGAAGGACAGACGGATGTATGAAAAGCTAAACAGTCTTACACGTAGAGAAAAACTGTAGCTAGATATGGTAACTATTTAATACACTAAATTTAATGATACCATGGTCACGGCAATCAAATTTTAGTTGTCCCAATCATGGAATGATAAAGAGACACATGGAGTTAAAGAAGGATAGACAGACATTTAAAAAGCTAAACAATATTACACGTAGAGAAATGTTGTGGACGGAAAAGGTAACTATTTAACACACTTAATTTAATGATACCATGGTCACTGCAATAAAATTTTTATTTGTCGCAATCAAAAAATTGTTCTAGTAAACTAATGCCACACAAAGAAAACAAAATATATGATGGCAGTAATCATAATATAGTTGAATTTCTTGAATTTCTCTGAGTGTAATGTCATTCATTTTAGTTGATTCTTTTTTTACATTTCTATCTATTGGATTGTTGCATTTGTATATGGAGATTGCATGTGTGCGTGTATTACTTAAATAACATCTGTGATTTGCCAGCTGTGTGTGACTCTTTTATTGCACAGGTAACATACACAAGTGTGTGTATGTGTGTTATGTTAGTAGTGTTGTACATGTATTAGTAGTTTTATTTTAATGATTGTTGCATTACGACGAGTTTGATAAAAATCGCAAATAAAAGCACTCATTTGTAATTCATTTTTTAATGATTTTCCTTAATTTTAAATTGCTTTTGTTTTTGTCTTGTTTGTTGTTTTTTTGTTTATTTGTCTGTTTGTAGATCTGTATAGCTGTGGGTATGTGTGTATTTCATTACTTTTTTTGTTTTTGCCAACTTCACGCTCTGGTAGTATTCACCAGACCGAAATAATTTTATGCAGCAAGCACAACACACCCGCAAATCAAGTAAAATATACAAATAACACTTGAGGTAAATTTACACTAATACTTTGACAATAATACAGAAAAAAAAACTATAACTGTGTGTATGTGTCTGTGATGAGTACTGCGGAAGGGCAACTATGTTTTTGTTTTATTATTATTTTTTTTTGTAGTTTTTTTGCCTTCTTCGTGTTTTGTTTTATTTTTTTGTTAGTTACATTTTCTTATGTTTATTTCTGTTCTCTAATCAGTGCTTTTATTAATTAATTTTGAATTTTATATATTTTTTTTGTACTCTTGTGCGGCTTAGTTTTCGTTGCTGTTTGTTGGTTTTACGTATCCCCGGCCTTTGTCAGTGCCATCAACAACAATACAATAGCAGCAGCAGCTGCAATCAAAGTCAAAGCCACAGCCACAATTCTCAGTTGACAACAGTTTGTCTACTCATTGTTGTTAAATACTAGTGTTGTTGCAACGTTTCTTTCTTTTTTTTTTCTTCTTCTGTTTTATATTTATTTATCTTTGTTTTTAAAGTTTTATTTAATGTTTTTTTTTTTTATTTTTTTGTTGTTATTAGATGTGTTTGTTGCTGTTGCTATTATTGTTGTCGAAATATTTAACGTTGCGGTTCACAGCGTTTAATTTTATGTATCTTTATTTCGTTGGTTTTTTTTTTCTCTCGTTGTTATTTTTTTTATGACTTCTCATGTTCCTCAACTGTGGTGGATCAATGAAGTTAATTCGTTAACAACAAACACCAAATTCATTATTTTATTACCCTAACATAGACACAGATAGACACATACATATAGTCATAGACAACCCAGCGGTTTAACAAGGAGTCAATGTATTTCTGGTGGACAAAAATCTTCTCTAATAGTCTAACTACTTAGTGGACAAAAGTAGAAATTGGTTTGCATTATTGGAATAAGTATCCTATTGCCACTCTAGTGTGTCGAAGTAGTCTAGCAGCGAAATAATCGTAATTTCAGTGTCCCTAGGTAGTTAGTTGGAAGTGCTCCAGTCTGTTAGTACGGAGGTGCTAGGTTCGATTCCACCAGAGACTCTGCTTAAGAGCCTACAACAGGACCAATATTGCCAAAAGTCTTAAGATCTGAAAGCTAAAAAAGTAACTTTAATTCTATTAAAGGTTAAACTCAAATCCAATTTGTAAAATCTCCTCTACGAGACAATCCCCCACGAACTGCCGGTTATGTAAGTGTGTATGTGTTGCTATGTGTGTTATAATTAAAATGTTTCTCAAACTAAGTTATAAATAGAAATATAGTTCTTACAATGAGCAACATTATTAATTTCTTTTTTACATTTTTAAATTTTGCACTTTTTTCTTTAAGAATTTTCTGCTGTTCTTTTAAATTTATGTATTTATTTACTAGTTTAAAGAAACTTTGTTGTAAAGGGCCGTCATATTTTGAACATGAAATTTAAAGTTTCTTTTTTTTTTTGTTGTTTTTTTCTTATAAATTATAAGTATTTTAAATGCGGAATTACCACAATAAATTGTTCATTCCAACTCGTAGACATTTCAAAATGAAGAGAATATAATGTGACATGAATATAATTATTACATTTCATACAACACTGTAAGATTATTTGTCTATACATAATGTACTTATATACTACTTTATTTACATTAAATATATACAATTGAATACACCTATGTATGGAGTTTTTAATCTAGATTAATAAACTATTTAAAATTTATAAACATAAAACAATAATATTTAAATTATACAGTAATATAATTCCTTAATGGGAATATTCGTTAATATGGAATAAAAAGAATTTTTAGAGGTTATAGTTTATGAATCGTATAAAATATTTTTAGGTTATAGCTTTTTAAAAAACTTCAAAATTCTTTAAAAATTAAAGGGAAAGTTTTTAGATATCGTGCAAATTTAAATTTAGAATTACAAAAATGAATCTTCCTTTCCCATCGAAAAATTCTATCTATCGCCTTTGAT